CCCCATGTGTATCAGACCTGTCCTCTGTGGTTCCCCCCTTCCTGAGTGACCTCCTCCCCATGTGTATCAGACCTGTCCTCTGTGGTTCCCCCTTCCTGAGTGACCTCCTCCCCATGTCTATCAGGCCTGTCCTCTGTGGTTCCCCCCTTCCTGAGTGACCTCCTCCCCATGTCTATCAGGCCTGTCCTCTGTGGTTCCCCCTTCCTGAGTGACCTCCTACCCATGTGTATCAGGCCTGTCTCCTGTGGTTCTGTTCCTCCCCTGTTGCTCTATACTGCCTGTAGTTTATCTTTTACAGTTTTTATGAGAGAAACAAAAATGCTTATTTCGTGGGACACATCTTTTCTTAGGCATAATGATTGATTGCCATTTTTAAAGCAGTTCTATGTAATGTTTCGTGACCGTGGATATGTCACGTGAAATATTTGGCTCGCTGGTCTGTTCTATGCCAGGGTATGATTTTATCATCATTTTAAATTTTAAACATCTTCAATGCATTCCTAAAATTCTGTAAAGGTATTAAAGTTTTGTTTCTGAAAAAGATCTGTTAAAAAATATGGTTTCATCCAAAGAATTCACCCTTTGTTACTAGTATTTTGACAGCCGAGAAACAAATATAATCAAAGAAAAATAATAATGAAGTTGGTTTGGAGTCACTGAGGTTGTTGCCTGTCTGTGACTGAAAGTCTGTGCTTTTATTGGCTATTCAAAGTCAGGGACAGGACAGTATTTACCTGGTTACCAGTGAGGCAGCAAATTAGCCATTTTTTCTATTCTTTTATCTATTCATTTTCTCTAGTCTTGGTGGGAAGCAGGCAGAAACGTCAGCTTAGCTACTTATATGGCACTGATTCAGCGTCTGTAATGTGCCCCCCACCCCCGTACCCAAAGTCCACCTTGGATACAGACCTTGTCCACGGTTTCAGCACGTTGGCGTCCTCTTTGCTTGCTAGCCTGTGCTTTCTCGAGTCGCTCCTTCATGTCTTGAGATGCATTTGTTCCTGGTCGTAAGGACCGGGTACGCGGCCCGGGTGCGCGGCGATATGTCGGTGGATCCCGCTAGTTGTTGCCCGACGTTAGGAGCAGTGGCTCGGCTTGGCTGGCGGGTAGCTTGCGGGCTGCTGCGCTGGGTGCCGCTTGTCTGCTTGTGTTGGGTTCAGGAAGAGCTCAGCTTCAATGAAAGCCTTCAGATTGATATACTCATCAGATTTGAAAGTGCTCTAATGATGAGCATGGAATGGTTTTATTTTAAAATGCTATACAGATCAAACATGGACACTGTTACTCTATGCATTTGTTTTAAAGGATGTCAGTGTCTTTATTCTACAGTTTTTCTTAAGCTGCTGTTATAAATAGTTTAATTTGCCATTACTGATGCTAAATTACTTTGATACTTAAGTACTTCTCTCTGTTGGTGGTCTGGTCCCTGCCACCACCTGGCATGTGTATGTTAGCCGGACTATGCCTTAAAATATTCTCATGATATTTATGGTGAACACTGGGTTGTGATTACCGCTGTGCTGGCCTTTATGGGGGCGTATGTGAAAAGTGCCCCCTTGTAGGCAGCCTCTTATGTGCCCCCCTTTCCCCCCCCCCACAGAGCAACAGACGGTGGTCTTGCTTCCAAGGTCGTCCTCCGCTTCCAAGTCATACCCACCCATCCCGGTGGAATCCCTGGAAGAGGAATACAGGGTTCGGTCAGCTGATGACGGCAAGATGTTCCGCGAGGAGTACAACGTATGCTTCTATGTGCCACCCCCCCCCCCCCCCCCCCCCCCCCATGTTCCCATACCCCCAGACGACCACATAATCTTTGTTTCTGTTTTCTTCACGTTACCCTCTTATTTTTGGAGTCCCTTATGACCTGCTCATGGCCTTCCAGCCCAGAGGAAAGCATGCCCAGTTCTGGAAAGCTCTGCAAGTGGATAGACGGCTCCGGTTAATGTTTCTGTACCATCATAACGTGACATCGTCACCGGAGGCACACGGATCCTGAGGGAGCCAGGAGAGAAACAAATTCCATACGGTGTCTAAAATAACATTTAAAATGAGGGGGTGGTCCAATTGTGTTGCTCTGGGGGGTGACTTGGCATGTTCACCTTAGATTGTAGGACCAGCTTGTCCAGTCAGCCTGGCTTCCATTGCACTCCCACACCCATCCTCATTGGATGAGATTGTCCATCTTATGCGGGGTTGTTGTGCATCTGGGGCAACATCAGCCAGATTTATGTACCAATGGGGGATCATTTCCCTGTGAGACGCATGTGGGTCTGTTCTGGCACTGCCTGCATTCATTGGCTCTGTGCTCCAAGTGGGCGTACACCAAAAGGGGAGTGGTTATGGGCGTGGCCCAAAGTCAATTTGCATATCTAGCTCCTCCTTAACATCTCTCTGACTCACAGCTGGTACTTTGGCCTCCTGTTTACTGGCAGTGATTTTTGTTGTTTTGTTTTTCTGGATATGGCTGTTTGAATGGTAGGTTAATTGGGGAAAGGTCTCGTAATTAGGAGGACATTATCAAAATCTTACTTTCCTCTTTTATAACAAATGTATTGAGATTTCCAGTGTTAGGACAGATGTTTTGAGATACAATGTCGTTTTGTAAAATGCCAAGTGCACTTTTTATGCCAAATTGATTGTGATACGAAGTGACGAGAGTAGCGACACTCTGGTTCGTCTGTAGGGTTTGCGTGCCCTCTAGTGGGCCTTCTTGGTATTGCAACGTTTTATCTTTTGAGTTTAATATACCTCTATTGCTTACTTGTTTTATACACGTGTATATTGAGGTTAAACCGAAGCATAACTGCTGTGCTCAGTTCCATTCAAATAAACCTGTGGGAGATGCCGTGGAATTGAACTAAAATTCAAGAAAGACTTTGGCTTTGGTCATTTTTCATTCATAATTGGAATATTATGGGGATATCCACAGTTACTGTAACTTTTGTGTCATTCTGTCACGCTTCTCTCTGTTCTCGTTTCTGTATAATTACATCATTTTGTAGTTGCGCGTGGTCTAGTGTGATGGTTGCAGGACGGACAGAGTAACGGAAACTCCAACATGGAAAAAAGTTTCATTTCGAAGTGACCACGTGACATACAAATGCAGCTAAGAAGTGAGTCACATTAGGATGACTGTTAATTGGCAGGATGTGTGGGCTGTATAAGGCCTCCGACAATCAGCACTTTGATATATGAGATTCAAAAGCACCATAAGGCAGCGAACGGCGCTTCTAATAGGCCAGAGCTGGTTCCGAAATCGCAGGAGCGTCGGTCACAAAACCTTTATTTTCACCACTGTGAAAAATTACAACGGCCTACACTACAGACCAACAGCGCATCAACGAGGAGGAACAGCGCCCCCCGGGTTAGACAGACACTTAACGGGATAGCTGCTGAACACTACAAAAGCAGAACCTCAAATATGACCGTAGAACTGAATCAGCACCTTCGTGATCCAGTCTCATGAAAAACAGTACGTTATGAGTTTGAGGAGGATTCAAGACTGATGCATCATCACACGGTTTAAGGAGAACAAAACCAGACCCTTGACCTATGGAAAAAAAGGAATTTGGGCCCAGGAATCACCCTTAACCCTTTCTGAGATACGTTTAGCTTTGAGTAAAGTCATACGATGCCTTTGGACCATGATGTCGTTTGCTATGGACAGGCAACATTTGATCACATGACCACTCCACATGGTCATATAACAACCAAGGCAAGGCCGTTTTACAGGATTAGCTGCAGCCAGTGTTACAAACAATTGTTCTCCCCAGGCACCAGATACGGTAATCATTGAGCGTTCATGGGAAGTTCTGGGACACGGTGTGTGAAGTGGATTTCCGTTTCCTTCATCCTTCAGAAGAGAAGCTGATCTTCCAAAAGAATCGTCCAATATCGCACTACACATAGTTCAGGGGCTGTATGATAGGAGGACTGGGGGTCCTCTCCAGTCAAGGCTAAGGGTGGTCGTAATCCCAACTGAATACTTTATATTGTCACGTGTCCACTGTTTTCTACATATAGATAAAAAGATAGTTGAACATCCATATTTCTTTATTTATTCTTTGCTGTGATGCTGTGATTCGCCGTCTTTTATAACCACGATTTATTTTCCTTCTCTTTCTTCAGCCACAATGGTCCCCGTTCTCTTCCTCGTAGCCTCCACACCGTCGCAGAATATCTCCACAAGCCCCCCGACGAACAGTAAGCTCTCGCTTTCTCTGGGTCTGTGGGCAGGAGTGAGGGCTCATCCCGTCTGTTTTGGATGTAAACACAATTTCTGTATGGGGTGGGGGGGGGATTCATAACACGTCATGCTAAGCCATCAAAACAAACATAATTATTGTTATGGAAGACTATGCTAATTGGCTGTCTGCTGAGAGCCCCGATCTGTGGGCTGCCCGGATCTAAAATATCACTCTGCACCCTGTCATTTGGAAAAGTCTGCCCACTAAGGCTTTTTAAAACCATTAGTTTGACTCAGAATGATATTTACTAGTGTACTGACAGGAAAGCAGATTCTCAGAGGAGCTTGTGAGGGGCTGGCATGTAAACACAAGCTAAAAACACCCCTTATCCATGAATGTAATGGCCTTATGACTCTGTCTGCGTTCGCTAGCTCCTCCCGTTCTTTTGTTGAAGTTCTCTTGCCCCCCCCTCCACAGCCCCTCCCCCTCCCCAGAGTCATCACATCCTAGCCATCGTGCTGGTGACCTCGCTGTTACTCATCATTGTCGCCCTTCTGGCATGGTACTTCCTCAGGTACGTGGGGGGGGGTGTGGGTGTGTGATGTCACTTCCCTCTCTGTGCCGGAGCAGGCGGGGCCGGCGGGGGTGGCAGAAATGCTGTAGTAGAAGTAGGGTTAGTGTAGACTGTGAATTGGAGCGGAGTGTGTCACAGACACCCTGGACCGCTGAGGGTCGTGTTGTCGCTCGTCTGGACTAGCCTGGGCTGCTCATGAACAGAATCTCACGCCTCACGTGGTAGGTTTTCACCTGGACCGGCACCGGTCCACTGGACCCGCTCACCCCCCCCACCACTGTCTCACGGGGGCTCCGGATTTCTTCCCCCCCCCCCCCCCCCTGCATCTCCCCCTTGAGCTCACCCCTGTTAAAGTACCAGAAGTATGCCTGGTCTATTTTAGTACTATTTCAGTTCGACATTTAACGGAACACATGAAATGTAAATATATTCTTGATTTGAATTTCCGTAAATCAGTCTTAGTATCTGTTCTGTATCAGTGTCTAACAGTTTTAGCCCCTCTGTTCTGTCTTTATCTAGTTCTCAAACTGGAAATTTGTGCTGCCACGGGCTGCGCAATAACTGTATGCAGCTTCAGCCAGATAACAGATGTCTTCTTGAACTCTGCTTAGCTACACGTGTGAATCGAGAGTTCCTCCATCTCTCTTTAGGTCAGAAAGAGGAAATGCCAGTATAATGCATGCTGCAGAGTCATAGACCGCTGTGTGAAGACTGTACCTCCTCCCCCTCCCACCCTAAACGCAAGGTTCCTACGCTGACACGCTCCCACCTCCTCTCTTCCAGTCCCTGCCCAGCGGCTTCGCCCAGGGCACGTACGAGGAGGCTAACAAGGAGGAAAACAAGGAGAAGAACCGCTATCCCAACATCCTTCCATGTGAGTGGCGGAGCAAAATGCCCCCTTGCGATTAGCGGCTAGCTGTCCCAGGTTCATTAGCACTTCCTGACCGCTAAGTTTTCCGCTGTGACTCACACACATTGTTCCAAATAATGCGTGAGTAATTATGGGTCAACTTCCTGCCGCTAAAGTTCATTCGCTCACAGAAATGCCCTCACTCCAATGTCACTAACGTCTCCTGTACGACCACCCACTCTGCTGCTGTTTGCTGTGGGAGATCATGTGACTGTGTGTCTAATTATTCACCTGTATCAGCAATGGGTGTGGCTTAAGTAATTCCTCCAATTAATATGGGTGTCCACATACTTTTGGCCATATACTGTTCCTGCTAATACATTACTTGATGGGGCACAAATACCTAATAACTTAGTTACTTCTGAAGTACAGAACAAATATAGTAATTACGTGGGATGAAAGATGCATCATGATTCATTAATGATGAACAAACCTCAGATCAGTATTTCACTTGTGTTATTCACGACTTGTTCCTTCACTTGTTCTGTAGTAGTTTCTTGAGTAGTTCACAGAGGTTTACGGAAGTAACATGTATAGTGGAACCTTGGTTCTCGAACATCTCATGTCTGGTACAATTCGGTTCTTGACCATATTGTTTGGTGAAAAAATGTCTCGGTTGTCAAGCATATTTTCGGTTCTCGATCAACCAACCCTTTCGTGCTAAAACCTGTCTGATAAAGCACGTGTATCCTTACACATAAACAAAGGAGAGAATGCGTGCGTATGAGTCAGTCTACCGCTAGTACACTCGCATAGTGAACGTCTCCACTGAATCGTGCTGTGAATATTATGTTTCGTTTTACTTTTATTTTATTTAAGCCACCATGGGTCCTAAGAAGGTTAGGGTTAGCAGCAAATGAGAAAGGAATGTTGTGAGAACTACGATAGAGCTTAAAAAGGAAATAATTGCAAAGTATGACAGAGGTGTTCAGGTGTCTAATCTTTGGAATGGCTAAATCATTCCCCCCCCCATTTATTTCATGCAATTTTCAGTTTTAAGGGTTTTATTTACCATTAGTCATGTATTTTTACAGGTTTAAATAGGCAGTCACTTGGGGGTGTGCAATTGACTAGTCCAATGTACATTATTTCTTATGGGAACAGCTGCTGGAGATAAAACATGCATCACGATTCATTAATCATATATTAACATGAGATTAGTTTGTAACTAAGACTTAGTTTGTGGTTAATTAATACATAAGTAATAGCATAATACTGTACTATATTATTTGTGCCCCGTCACGTAAAGTGTTACCTTGTACGTTTCATTTGCAATAATTTCATTTCATTCACATAGTCTTCAGCTGTGCTCTGTGCAATAACAAGCATACAGCACCTCTTTAAATAGCTTAGAAAGATGCACATGTGATTATGTGTAATTGTGTGAACTCTTACATTCCATATTTGGTAGTCACATTTGATGTCTTCATATGTTTTTTTGCCATCTCTTTCTCGCAGTTGACCACTCGAGGGTGGTGCTCTCTCAGACAGACGGACATGGGAGCTCTGACTATATAAATGCTTCATATATCGATGTGAGTTTTGCTCATTTACAAAGTTTTTAACTGAATTTGGAATGAGTATCAGCTGTGGATATTTAGGCCGCTTTTCCACTGCAGCAGGTCCCGTATATTTGCTACTAAAAATTCAGTACTTTCCCTTTTCCACTGACTCCTGGTGAGGTTCTAGAACCAAAAGTACCAAACCAGTTGGAATACTTTGTTGGTACTTTGGGGCGGGACTTGCAAATGAGTTTATTGTTGATTGGCAATGCAAATCACCTGCCTTTAATTGTGATCTGGTTGGAATAACAGATTCAGCAAGATGTGGATGGCTTGACAAGAAATAAAGTATATAATATTCTAGATGTACGGTATATAATATTGTAGATGTAAACAATATTGGGAAAAAAATCAGAAGTTGGAATGTCTGATTTTGCAATAAATTTTGGGATATTTATGAAGCAAGAAAGGAGTTCAATTTCTTGCAAAACCAACTGGGAATGATTTAAACGGCAATGACATGAGTGACTGTGATTGGCTTGGTGATTGCATGCAGAGGTCATGCAAAAAGTAGCATTAACCTGACTTTTCAAAAACACATAATTTTGTATCAGATGGAGCAATCATTAAAATTGCAAATGTCCGGACAATATGAAAAGGCCTGAACTCAACCCATCTGACTGTTGCAGTCCTGGCGATGTGAGAATTGCATGTGCCTAACGTGCGATGTTTGTATTAATATCGGCACATCGCTCAGTCCTATATACTATTGCTAAAAACAACACAAAGAAGTGCCTTACTTTTGGTACTTTTTTGAAGTACCAAAAGTATGGTACCTGGTGTGGTGGAAAAGCATCCTTACAGAGTGTATTAGTAGTTCAGTACATATGGGAGTATATTGTAGCATAATAGAATATATTCATAGTAGACTATAGTTATAATTTGGTATAGTATTACCTGTATGTATAGGCACTGCTGAATGGTTTTAGCTACAAAACCTGATTGTTTCTCTACTTACTTACAGGATGGTAACCCCACCCCACCCCCCCTCCCCCAGCTTTGTGGTACCATTTTTCCCATTGTGTTTTCTGTCTTTTCATCAGGGTTACAAGGACACCAAAAAGTTCATCGCGGCACAAGGTACCGGCAGTTTACTCGCACCACATTAGCGGGACGCGGCGAAAATGCAGTGTGCGTTCGGCCCGGAATGGTGACGTTGGTGCCGTTTCAGGCCCCAAGCAGGAGACGGTCGCAGACTTCTGGAAGATGGTCTGGGAGCAGAAGGCAGCCACCATTGTGATGCTGACAAACCTGAAAGAGAGGAAAGAGGTGAGCGCGTCCGAGTCGGAGCACTCTGACGGACCTGCACGAGCTCCTCCGTCTGTCTCCCGAAACCCTCTGCAGGATCACAGTGGGCTTTTTCCAGGTTGCACAGCCCCCCCCCCGGCTGGCCTTTCACCCAATCACAGGGCAGTGAATAACGGTGGGCTGAGCTCTCCTAAGGCCCTGCTGTAATCATCCAGCAGCAGTCAGTAAATGGTTCTCTTCCAATTCTGACTGACTGATAGATTGTGGAAGCTTACTGCTCTTACAGCACGGACTGTAAAGGTCACAGTGGCCGCCCACACACAGACAGAGGCAGACAGACAGACAGACACACAGGCGAGCAGACACTTCACAGTTAATCGTGATCAGATAAAGTTGTCCGCTTACTACACTTAATCCATTAAGTGCAAAATTTAAATATGGGGGCAGTGTGGGGTTCAGCGGGTAAGGACGCTGCCTGTGAATGGAGGGTCGCCGATTCGAATTCCAGGGTCATTCAAGTGACTTCACTGTTGCCTTCTCAAGTATACAGCACTTTGCATAAAAGTGTCAACTCAATAAATAAAATGTAAATGTATTTACATTGTGGATTTATTATCATATACATTTTTGTTTTATGTGTTTTTAGGTCATATTTTTTTCTTTTTAATTAAACACACAGAGCCATTGCAATCTACAGCTGAAGAGAGATTCTAAGGCCGTAATATACCTCATGCAGTTTCTTGATGGTTGGTGTCAGCCTTTTTGGTTTTCAGTTCCTGTCACAGACCACCTGGTCCCTGTGTTTCCAGGATAAGTGTTACCAGTACTGGCCGGAGCAGGGCTGTTGGACGTACGGCAGCGTGCGTGTGGCGGTGGAGGACTTCACCGTGCTGGTGGACTATACCATCAGGAAGTTCTGCGTGCAACTTGTGAGTGACACCCTGGGGCTGCATCACCTCCCCTCCCCCCAAACTCACGCGCAACACCGTCCACATCCTGCGATGACCGCCACATAACAATTTATGTCCCATAACTATGTCCCCTTTCATCAGCCCTCATAAGGAAACAGCTCTTGGGGTCTGTGTGGTTTCTGAATATATTTTAGTAAGAGGCTTTGTTTAATGCGTTCCTGTAGTGACAGCGGTCTTGTTGCAGCTCGACCATAACGTTTAGCTTCTAAGCTTTTATATCTTGATCTGCGAACGATCTGTGAGTAGTCAGTTTTGGTCTGTGAATTCATGTGAAGGCTAATGCTGAAGCAATGCTAAAAATATGAGCGAAATGAATTTAGTGCTGTTCAGCTGCTTCATCTGCGGCTGTCATTCCGGGAGATCATAATAAGCATTCGTAGTTCTTTTGACTAGCCCAAACGAGTCTTTGCAGGGAGGAATGTGGGCCTCGTTGTCTCCTGTCGGGTATGTGCACATGAGCGTGGCAGGCAGGTGTGTGCGTATCCAGGGTGTCGGAGTTGCTTTAGAGCTGCGTTTCTGCCCCCACCCCCAGCAATCCACTGATGGCAGTAAGACCCCCCGATTGGTGACCCAGCTGCACTTCACCAGCTGGCCCGACTTCGGGGTCCCCTTCTCCCCTATTGGCATGCTCAAGTTCCTCAAAAAGGTCAAGTTGGTGAACCAGCCCTCCGGAGGACCCATCGTGGTGCACTGCAGGTAGGCGTGTCCCCCCACACGGCATCATGGGAAACGAGATTCTAGTCGGTCTAGAGCAGGGTTTCCCAACCCAGTCCTCAGGGACCCTCAGACAGTCCACATTTTCGCTCCCTCCCAGCTCACCTGTACCAGGTACTTGGTGTTCTTGATTCTCTGGGAGCTGGGGGGGAGCGAAAATGTGGACTGTCTGAGGGTCCCCATGGACTGGGTTGGGAAACTCTAGTCTAGAGTATGATACTGAAATATTTCTAGGTCACACATTGGTCACGTTCATCGCCTTGAAGCAACCCGCCCTCCATTTGTGGTCTCTCTGCAGTGCTGGTGTGGGTCGGACAGGGACCTTTATCGTTATCGATGCCATGATAGACATGATGTACGAGGAACAGAAGGTGGACGTCTTTGGCTTTGTCTCCCGGATACGGGACCAGCGCTCCCAGCTAGTGCAGACGGACGTGAGTACCGCCCTCTTGCTCGACATGCTGGGACACGTGCGTTCATCAACTGCCTTCACGCTCAGGGGGTCTGTTTCTGCCCCGAGTTATGCGCTGTTATCTTGAGGGTATCATAGCAAGGTTCACACATGGTTCATTCTCAGAGACCAAAGACTGCATTTGCTAAAAGACAAGCCGCAGAATGACTGACAGAACAGAAGAGAGATGTGCCACTTTGTCAGCAAACGGTTTCTGACCCGGTTCTGTGTGGGGTCCCGACTCACAGATGCAGTACGCCTTCATATACCAAGCCCTCCTAGAGTATTACCTGTATGGGGACACGGAGCTAGACGTGTCGTCCCTGGAGGGCCACCTGCAGAAGTTGCACAGCACGTCGGCGCCATTTGACAGGGTAGGGCTGGAGGAGGAGTTCAAGGTGAGCGTGACCGCTGGCTGGGGGTGGGGCTTCATTGGTGGTTAACCATGTTGCTTTCACTGAGAGCGCCCCCCCTACCTGTGATTTTATAGATCCTGTTTGTCTCTTTCTCCCAAAGTTGGCTAATCATTTTTTTTTTTATGTGAATGTATCTTAGCAGTGTTTATTCAAGAGTTATGATCAAAACTCTCAGTGAAAAAACAGACATTTCGTGATTTTTTTTGTTTGTTATAAACACCAGTCATTAACTTGAATGGCTTCCTGCACAGAAACTGACAAACATGAGGATAATGAAGGAGAACATGAGGACGGGGAACCTTCCAGTCAACATGAAGAAGAACCGCGTACTTCAGATTATTCCCTGTGAGTACCGTGTTTAAGAACCATCTGGGGCACTCATTTCAAAGATTACAGAGCACATCGTGGTAAGTTAGTGCAGAAGATCTGTTCCTAAATGTGGGCCTTCAGAGTGAAGCACCACTCAAAGAAATATGTGCCAGTTTCGTTTTCACTTGCGTCCCATCAGCTGTCTGCGAGTAAGAGAACGCAAATCAGTTCGCAGTGATACTGACGGATCGCTCTCACTCATTGTTCCTCGCTGCCCTCTGCTGGTGAAATTTAGCAACTAACACTTGTTTCCTAGCGCATTACACCCGCAGCAGCTAATGTGGAATGAAGCCAGTAGCTTAGAGCGCACACATAAGGAAAACTGGGGGGGGGGGGGGGTGAACTGGCTATTCCAAACGGCCAAAAATGGAGAAGAACGTTTATTAATAGTAAATCAATATTATCAAGAGACGGGAATAGCTGATGTGACAGTTCTTATCGAAAATATGACAACTGAAAATTCTCTTTAAATGTGAAGTATCTTGTGTGTTTATGTTCACCGACAGTGATTGGGAGCCTGTATCTCTTTGCAGTTCCATTGTAATCGTGTGGATCGCTGTACGGAAACGAAAGTAAATCCGAACCTTCTTTTAATTCGCAGATGACTTCAACAGAGTAATTCTGTCCATGAAACGGGGCCAGGAATTCACCGATTACATAAATGCATCATTCATAGATGTAGGTATTCAGTCTTAACTCCCCAACTCCCTTGTTTGTGTTTGTGTTTGTGTTTGTGTGTGTGTGTGTGTGTGTGTGTGTGTATGTATGTATGTATGTATATGTGTATATATATATATATGAAGGCCCGGAGCTTTGGCTGCACTTTTCTCAGTAACCATGAGGTTGCTGGTTCTCGATCGACAGTCCACTCTCCTGTTTCCAGAGGGACGTGATGCTTCATTTATGTGTTTGCACGCAGCCTGCGTGCCGAGGGCATGTTTCGTCCTGCCCGGTCCCGCCTCCCCCTCATCTGGATGCTATCGGCTCTGGGTTCAGCCTGGAGCGGACAGCCCTTCCTGCTCTTCTTTCAGGGAGCTGTTATCATTGTTTTAATGGGTGTTTTTATTAGCGAATGTAGTTAATTTGCTCCAGACGTTGGCCGTGAAGGGTGACACATGGACAGACAGTGTAGGCGTCGTTTCGTGGCGGAACTGTAGCAGGTGGCATAAGTTCTTCTCATCTCAGTCGCCATGCCGCCTGTTACCACGGCGATCTGAGGTCCTGTGTTTCCACCAGTAAGATTCCTCACAGTTCGGTTCTTCGATGGTTTGGATACTTATCTGTACCAGTTCATCTGAAACCAGCAGGATGGTTCCACTCCATCGTCCCATTCACCATGGAGTAGAACAGGCAGACATCAATGTTGCACTGCTTTCGATCTTAAAACTTTATCGGACGTCTTTATACTACATACTTCAGAAATGTCTCTAGAGTCATTCATGGAAAGTACTGTTTTTGAGGCTGCAGTGCATTCTGGGAAATCACACCCGTGATTTCTCTTCTCAGAAGTCTGGCCTGCTAATCTGCAAGTTGATCACATAAAGCATGCTGTATGGGTGCCACAGGGTTTTAATGTGCGATTCCCCTCCCCCAGGGCTACAGGCAGAAGGACTATTTCATTGCCACCCAGGGGCCCCTGTCCAGCACGGTGGAGGACTTCTGGAGGATGGTTTGGGAGTGGAAGAGTCACTCCATTGTCATGCTGACCGAGCTGCAGGAGCGGGAGCAGGTATGACCATGTGGCCTTGGGTGTGTGATACCCTACAAGGGGAAAGGTTGGGTGAATTCCTCAGAGTGTTAACTGGAAAGGTTGGGTGAATTCCTCAGAGTGTTAGCTGCCGTTTTAGAGGTGGAAACAGAAACTGAAAATGCCTTAATGTTTTGAAAATTACATTTTTAAGCTTTGTATTGTGAGGATAGATGGATGGATGGATGGATGGACTCGCCTCGACTAGAAAAATAGAAAAATAAAAAAAATTGACGGAAATGTTTAGTTGAACCAAACATCTATATCATGGGTCACCAACATGGTGCCCGCGGGCACCAGGATGCCCCCAAGGACCACATGAGTCGCCCGAGGACCTGTTCTAAAAATAGCACAACTCACCAGTGAGCAGCGTCTAAAATTTTATTTTATCCTGTTGCTATTCTTTAATCACATTTGCATTTATATAGATTTGAAAATGACAATATCTAAATAAAAAATTTAAAACACAAGTTTAAGAGGGCGTTTCAAACTGATAGCCCTTCATATGGCTCAGTCCCTTTGAAGTAGCCCTCAGTTTCAGTTTCAAAAAGGTTGGTGACCCCTGGGCTATATTGTTAATAAAGCAGGGAGAACAATCACTATGTAAATCAACACCTGAATCCATGCAGTACCGCTAATTACTCTACAGTCTTGATTCACATTTGTAGAATGACGCTTCTGTGAGTTATGAAGCTCTCATTCCCAACCCCCCCCCCCCCATTTTCTACATACAGGATAAGTGCTTCCAGTACTGGCCCTCAGAGCACAGCGTCACCTATGGGGACTATGCAGTGGAAATCAAAAGTGACACCCACTGTGACACCTTCAGTCTGAGGGATCTGGTGCTCACGTACAACCCGGTGAGTCTTCTCTTAGCAGAGAAAAAAATGTCAATGGATAGAGAAATCCTTACAGGCTGTGGCCAAATCTTAATCTGTGAAGTGTAAAGCTTTCTCACAGCCACAGGTTAGGGGCCCATTTCAGAATGCAGGCTTACATGCTTAGCCTGCATTGTCGGATTTAAGGTAGTCTGGGCTAAATGTAAGTGGAGAAAGATAAGGTCCATTTAAAGTGAAGGACCTTAAATCTGACAAGTTATCCGGCTAAGCAAGAAATCCCGCTTTCTGAAACCCCTGGTCACCATCCCACCATCGACAAAACTAGATACTTTTAAAACAATGAGGACCGCTGTTTTTTATTTTCCGTTTAAAATAACACTGAGCTAATGTGAAACCATAACCGGATCTGGAGGTGAAAGTGGTTGTGACGACATTAGAGACGCAGGACGGCATTACAGTGAGCACCCTGCCTCCCACGTTCACCCCCAGGACAAGCAGACACGCCTGGTCCGTCACTTTCACTTCCACGGCTGGCCGGAGATCGGCATCCCCGCCGAAGGCAAGGGCATGATCGAGATCATCGCCGCGGTCCAGAAGCAGCAGCAGCAGTCTGGCAATCACCCCATCATTGTTCACTGCAGGTACCTCCCACTTCAACATCACGGGCGTCCGTAGAGGTGCCGGTCACCACAGGACCTGAGTCAACCGTAGATTTGAGTTGCACATACGCCAGAGATGAAAGCCAAATACAAAAGCAACTCAAAATTAATGAAAACTACCTAAAAAATAACGAAAACTGTAAACTAATTAAAAGCAAGCCAAATTTTAAAAACGTATACGTGCAGTTGTTGTGAGGGCCTTTGCCAGTGCCGGTACAGACAAAGGTCATTAGCTATTTTATGAAAATGTATGCAAATATATGAGATGGGCCTTAACTTTTATAGTCGGTAAGAGTGTTGGTTTGGCAGATGGTGCAAAGTCCTTCGTTTCCTGAATAGTTTAATACGGTTCACTCAGATCGGCAGCACGTGTGACTCAAATCCACGGTTGACTGCAGTGACAGTGACAGAAGGCGTGAGCCATCTTTGAGAGGGGCCGATGGTGTCACGGTTATTCTGGTCACGTGGGGTGATTCTTCTCAGCCGGGATGCACAATCAGAGCTATACCTACAGACTTCCGAACACTACGCTACGCTGCCTCGTGAGATTAATAAGCTCCTCTGGTTCACAGTCAGTGTTAAATATACGTGAAATGGTTTAAACCTTCAATTAATTAGATTCAGTACACTAATAGCGAGAGTTGTGTTACTACCCTATTTTACCTGTTCATTACTGACTCCAGAGAAGCACTTAAAGATATCTGACATCCATAGGGACGTATATAAATTAATTTAAATTCTCCAAGTGCTTTAATAACAGACTCAACCCAAAGTTAAAGAAAATCACAAGACTACTTTAATTTCCCTCAGGCATATTGGTGGATTGCCCTTTATTCTGTATGTAAAACTCTTAAACGATCAGTCAAAGGACAATCTGTCGTTATTAAAAAAAACCGGAACTGAAAGCTGTAGTCTGAGTCCTGGGTATAGCTGAGAGGCTTATGTTTCGAGTGACACCACAAAGTGTTTATGTATGGTTAGGGTTGTTAGTCTGGCTGGCCATAATGCTGTTTTGATTATATGAACTCTGTGGTTAACTAAACTGGTTAGCATGGGGCCATATTTCTATAGGGACAAATGAGTGATCCTGTTCTCTTGGTAGGCGGGTAAAGTTAAAGTATTTTGCAAGAGCACATGGATGGATGGATGGATGGATGGACGGACGGACGCACATAAGAGTTTCGTGGAGATAATTCTTCCCCTCCTGGACCAATTAAATTTCTCCCTCAAACTGTTATCAGAGACTTTAAAAACCCACATACACCCCTGAGATTTTTACCTTGCTTCAAGCTGTCTCTGTGTTTTCCTCATTGTGTATTCTGAAAAGGTTGGTGCACTGGTAACCCTATGATCTCACACGTTTCGGGTCATCTGTTCCATTCCCACAGCCGGTTCCGTGTGTGTGGAAGTTGCATGTTCTCCCTGGGTTCATCTGGGTTCCCTGTGTTCCTGAGTCCTCACGAAGCCTAAAAACACACACTTTGGTGCCCATGGATTGCCTTTAGGGTGCGTGTGGGTACCCCGTGCTAGGCTGGCATCCGATCTTCTGCCTGGACAGATTCTCATGCGCTTGCGTATATGACATGGTATTTATGCCTACAGCACTTCACTGATTGTCTACATGATTCACTTTTTCATGTAGAAGACCCGGTTCCAGTTGGAGGACTAAGTAGGGCAGACTCTGGAGGTGGCAGCCACGGTTCTAGGTGCTCCTGTCCTGGTGTTCGCTTTGTGCAATAAATGCGCGCTTTACGTCGGCTTCAAGAATTTGCCCGCGAAGAGTTCATGTACATCGCGGAATCTCATCCTTCGGATCCCCGTCCCGTGATTTTGTGCAAAATGGAAGACTTTACCGGTAAAGATTTCAGTGACTGAGAGTAAGGATGCTGAGCGACAGAAGAGCTTCCACGGCAGGGGATGAGGAGCAGGCGTGCTGCTTCACTGGTGACTAAATCTTCCATAACTCCCTGCATGCAGGGTCCCAGGATGTTTTAGAGTGGCTACAGTCGTCCCAGTTCCCAAGAGACAAGATCACTGTACTAAACCACTACAGGCCACTTGCTCCATCGCAGACTCCCTCCTTGAACTTCTGCATACAGAGCAAATCTCCCAGTGAAGGATGCAGTTACACTGTCCCTCCGCTACGTTCTCTGACATTTGCGCTCCCCCAACACATATCTCAGGATCCTGTTTGTGGACTTCAGCTCAGCCTTCAGTAATATTGGCCCGTCGCTTCTCCGCAGCAATCTGACTGAACTAGCTGGACCCTCATCCGTCAGTGGATTACCAACTTGCTAACAAATGAGTAGCAGCATGTAAAGCTGGGGCCCCCACCTGTCTGACCTATGACCGTCAGTACAGTATCTCCGCAGGGCTGGGTTTTCTCACCCCTCCTGTTTTAACTTTACGCAAATGACTACACCTCTGCAGATAAGTCTGTAATATGTTAAAGTTTGCAGATGGCACTGCTGTAGTGGGACTGATCTGCATCAACGATGGGACCTCCTATCGCAGAGAAGTGGGCCATCTTGCCGCATGGAGTGCCAGCAACAACCTGTAACACCAAGTGGGCGAGACGGTGGAAATTAGTCGACTTCCACTGCCAAGCCCCTGCCTGCCTCCCCCTACAAATTAATAGCCAGGCCATTTCTATGGTCAAATCGTTCAAATTCCTAAGTGCCAGCATCACCAGAACATTGAACTGGGACATGCAAATCACCTCCATCACCGAAAAGCCCAGAAAAGGCTGCTCTTCCTACGCCAACTCAAGAAGCTCAACATCTCCCAATGCATCCTGCTTCTACTCTGCCATCATTGAGAGTCTCGTGAAGTCCATCCATCCATCTGGTTTCCTGCTGCCTCCACCCTCTTACAGCGTGAGGTCCGCTCAGCTGAGAAAATCATACGCCGTCAGCTGCCAACCCTAGAAGACCTGCTCACCGCCACGGCAAAGAGGAGAGCTGGGAAGATTGTTGCTGATCCCACCCACCCAGGCAGTCACCTATTCACCAAACTGCCATCAGAGAGGAGGTTCACGTGATCATGATACGAACCGCACACCATCTCCACCACTTCTTCCCCATAGCCATCCAGCTCCTAAATAAACTCGCTTAGTACCTCAGTAATCCATCACCCAGGGACAATTTCCCTCTTTCACTTGCCCGACATGGCAGACATCTGATATTGTTTCAACTTGCATTAAAATGTACATCCTCCTTCTTTTTTATTTACTTATTCATCTTGCAGTAGTTTAATTTATGGTTCTTGAACTGTTAATTTATTTTAACACGTCTTGCACTGTATATTCTTCTTTTATTCTTATTTGTATTCCTATCCTTAGTGTTCTATGAAGTGTTTCTCCTTTACGTCTTGTAACATTGTTATGTACTTCATGTTTGGCAGCGAGTCACAAAAAAAATCGGAGATGTTTCTACATAGTAGCAACCAAATGAGTCCAGTTCTGTTTCGCTGAATGCACTGTATCGTTCTTACCATCCGCAGTGCTGGGGCTGGCCGGACGGGTACATTCATCGCACTGAGCAACATCCTGGAGCGGGTCAAGGCTGAGGGCCTTCTGGATGTGTTTCAGACTGTGAAGAGCTTGAGGATGCAGAGACCACACATGGTGCAGACTGTGGTACGTAGCCCGGTGCGGGGAGCCCTGGGGGGGGGGGGCTCATGAGCTGGCAGTGCACGAGCACCTGAGATCCTTTTTTGGGAATTCCTTTTGGGGAGCTGACTGGATCGAATCAGTGTAGGGGATGATCAGCAGAAGAGACCACTGCAGATGCAGTGCAACTTGTCTTAACTCCTGGTATAGAGCCTGTAATGGTCCAAAAGACAATGGTGTTCCTCTGTTTTAACAAATATGTGGTAGGTCAGGGCGTACAGACTTGTAGGTTCTCAGGGGCAGGGGTTAAAGGTGCAGAAAACTACACAGCAATGTTCATTTGATGTAAATTTCTGATATGAAGTAACAGTGCCTAATAAGCAGCTAAGGAGAGAATCTGTGCAGTGGCGTCCACTGGCTACCATAACATGCACTGATAGATCCTCTGTTTCCTTTCTCAGGAACAATACGACTTCTGCTACAGAGTGGTACAAGACTTTGTTGACATTTTCTCTGACTATGCCAATTTCAAATGAAGGAATCTGCCTTAAACCCTTTGAGTTGTTCAGTTTTGTTTTGTTTTTGTTTTGTTTTGTTTTGTTAATTAAAAAATGCAAGTTGGCCAAGATGTATTTTTTCTTAACTGGATTAAATGATCATATATTTTGCTATGCACTTGTTATTAATGTACCTTAAATGCATTACAAATTGTATCATACTGTGTCATAGGCCGACTTATGTTCTTCAATTGATAAAAGTTGTAAAAGCACAAAAAATTTGAAAATGTAAATGTTATATTATTTTGCAATGCAGTCATTATACACCCTTCCACTGTAGTCTTTGTATAAAACATTACTATTTGCTTTTATTGTCTATTTGTTTTGTTTATCATGCTTTAAAATTTGATTATGCCAGATTTATTTCAAAGCAAATTTACTACAAATGTACTTTTTATGATGTAGGTATTGTAAATGTATTTATTTACGGTTTCGCGCAACATGATGTTGCGTTTTTGATTTTCTTTCACTTTTATTTGTGTAGGGGCAAATTATTGAGTTGGAGGATTCTGCTTGAAAAAGCAAGATTCGGGGTCTTTTGTTTTAATGCCAAACATAAGCAACGCCATTACCTTTCCTGGTTGACAATTTTTAATTTTGATATACATTCTGATTAAATGTAGAACATAAAATACATAGTTATGCATTTTCAGTTAGTAAAAAATTTGTGCACACATTAGTGTAAAAGCAACAGTAAAGATAAAATGTGAGAGGAATAGAAAATCGGCACTGTAGGTAAGCAGAGATATTTAAAACTGTTTAAGAATGTTAAACTTACATTTAGTTAGTAGGGTACTTAGGTATGATAACTGTACATACAGATGGATCTCCTGAGCACGAAAATGGAACATTTATTTATGAAAATGTTAATTTGTACATATTTTATTATAATGCAAGGCAGCCAGAATTAAGTTGTGCAGCTCCTAAGTATATCTGTGTTTCTAAACCGTTGTGTTTATGTTAACATTTGTGAGGTCGCATGAAGCAATGCCCGAATATTGGTCGGAAAATGTTTCTGATCAAACGATATTGGTCACCGAGTGACTTCAGCCGATGCACATATTTGTAGCAGAAACGCAAAAGCTGAATTATTTAATTACTAAACCAAACGGGAGAAGCACAAGCGCTAGCGAAAACCGAGACGCAGACGTGATTTAGCACAAGGAATCATCGCTTTTACAGCGTTCCGTGCCAGTCCCTCTTCATAAAACCATTAGTTTTTCTAAATGAATTTAACTGTTTACTGGCATTCTTATTCCAAGTGAACGAAATGCCAGTCATAAAATACAACAGTTCATAGAAATGGTATTTTTTTGATTCGTACTATATGGGTTATGAAGGGGGTATCTATACGCCGCTTTGATAATTTTTTTTTTACATTTCTAAAAATATCTACTTTCCAAGAGACGTTCACTGTAGCTGGTAACCAACGCAAAGCTGATTTCGGCGAAGGTTCCAGATCACGGTTATGTTTCAGATATTATTTGCATTGCTGATTTTGGCTGCAGCAACATGTTTACGGTTTTATTTTGCTCATTTTTTACGTTGTCATCGGATGTCATTAGATTTACAGTGTCTTTGTACATGCAATATTAAATACATTGGAGAAAAACGCCTGTATTTGCTGTGTGTTCCTGCTTCTTGCATTCTGTTTTTGGGAAACTTTTTTTCCGATAGGAAAATAGTCATTTTCACAAACAGTAGGATGTAGTAACGACGAATAATATATAACATCCTGCACTGTATTCTTTAAATGACACGTTTTATTTGTATTGAAATTTACGATAACACAATGTAACGCAATTTCCCATTTACCGAAACAAAAACTGAATCTCATGACCATGCTTCCTTGGGGCTCCGTTCAGCTTCCAATCCGATTGGCCGAGCCCGGCAGTGCTGAGGGTAATCGCGCGCTTCATTGTACGTCTTATACTTACAGCCAATCGCCGCTCTTCGCGCGGAATTTCAAACGATTAGTCATTTGCCTTAATGTCACTCCGCGACATTTAAAACAAGATAGTTCCATGCATTCAAAACCTGTCTTCCATAAAATATTTCGTGATCTATCCGTTACAGACGTTTTTCCAAATTGGCCTGTGCGTTAATTATTTTGATGTATTTCAGTGACTTTAATTGATTCGGGGAATATGAATGAATTGTGGCGCAGGAATATGCAGGCGTAGTTCCCCTCGCACATGTCAGACCCCTATCGGCTGTGTGATTGCCATACCGTATAGGTTTAGGAAATCCGCAGTATCTAAATGTAACTTGTTTTTGTTAGTTTTTACTTCGGATGAGCGCTATCATCTGGACGTCGATGGAAAACACGTCATTTTAAACACGTTTTAAAAGATTGTCTACAGGTAAGTTTCTGTCTTGTTTAATTATCTGAGTTTAAGTAATGCTGGGATAAGTTTACTCGTGCTGTTTACAAGAAAATTGGCTTTCCCGCCGATTTGCCGTACGGATGATAAACCTGGCAGTTTAAAAGCTACACTGATATCACAGTGTGCCAAAGAAGCACTACATTTGAGCCAAAACACCAAACGTATTATCAGTTGCAGTGCTCTGCACATAAATATTTAACCGTCGGTACGTAACGCGTAAGCATCGTTGCCGGAGTGTTTTTTTTAAAGTTAGCTAAATTAATTTCAATTTTATTAATGAAGGGTGTTCGCATTGAATTGCGTCAGTACAGCCTTTAGAGAGTACAGCACGTGTGGTTACCGTTTACTTACCGTAGCTTAAGTCAGTTAGAATGGCTAAGAAACCAAGCAGTTGTTAACGACAAACACCTTAAAACGAGTTCCTTATTCAGAAGCTGGTGATAATATACTCAATTTCTGGCTGAAATCCTAATTTTTAATCCTAATTGTTATACGGGAGCAGCGAATTGATAAGTAACTTGGGCCCAGCACTGGTTATATTGGTCGACCAGAGAGTTCGACCGGTTCTGTTGCTGGTTCGGTGTGGGCTTTTCGCTGATATGTTGCTCATTTGACAAACTAGCAGTCTAACAGTGCAGTAACCCAGATAATATGTCTCTACCTGTTCAGACCAGGTAAGTAAAGCACGACATGCCTCTTCACGGGAAGATAGTGGTGATCAAAAGAAGCGGGGGAGATGGCACGGAGTTCCCTCTCACGGCCGCATGCTTGTTCGGGAGGTGAGTCCTTCCACCTGAACCCTTTGCTTTATGGTCTGGCGTGCCTGGTTACTGATATGAGAGAAGCTGCATGTGCTTTGCAGGAAACCTGAGTGTGACATCAGGATCCAGCTGCCCCAGGTGTCCAAGGAGCACTGCCGCATTGAGTTAAATGAAAATAAAGAGGTATTCATTGTGCTCAGTCAAGTTTTAAAGTATGCCCCGTGTTGACAGTTATGGTGACCCTGACTATCTCTCCCTCCCTCCCCCAGGTGATTTTAACAAATCTCAGCTCTGTTAATCCAACTCATATAAATGGAAAGCCTATGCAGCAGTCTGAACGTTTGAAACATGGAGACTTAATCACGATTATCGACCGTTCCTTCAGGTGACTGATAATGTTTGCCTATCGTTTATCAAGTCATTATTCCCGGGGTACATGTGCTTGCATAGTTATACTTACCCTGATGTCAGCAAATAAGAATTTACCCGGATATATTTTGCCTTTAACACAGTGTATGCATCTCTCCCCTCATTGTGAAACCATGATGTCTGTTCCTGTTACTACCCTTTGCCTGTACTGCAGACAGTCCTAAAGCGTTTAGTCAAAACTTCTACTATACTGTACCAGTAGCAAGCCCTCTGATGATTATTATAGCACTATTTGGTTGAGGAAATGCGTTACTTAGGAATGCTTTTAGTTCAGCTGGCTTTTATGTTTCCTTTCATTAAACATCAGTCTTCAGTTTTACCTGAGTGCTTTGGTGTTACATTAATAGTAAGGTGGTTTATCCTTTTAACTAGTTTAAGGCTCTGGTACTACGGCTAGCTGTACTTTGAATGCTATTGTAACACAGTATCTGGTACCTTTGCTTGGTTATTGCTGGTTTTGGCTGATTCTCTCAGGCTGCTTAGCTTGTTTTACTATTATCTGGGTAACCAGCTGATCCATGTTTCTCATTTGTCATTTTACTCAAAGGAAGTTGCAGATGCAGCTGCTTTTGGTTTATTGTATTAGCCGCTATAATTATAAACACCGATTTTCCTCTTGGGCTTCTTGGCGTAGTAGTTTTATATATCAGAGCCTCCGTCTTTGGTCGCCCTGGGTTACCATGTCATGTCTGGTGGAGTAAAATGCCTTCAGGTTTTCTTTTTAAATTTGGGTGATGCGTTAAATCTAAGGAAATTATTCTGCTGACCGATAAATAACTTCTCATTTTATTTTCCAGCATTTAAAATTCTTTCACATAACTTGCTTCCAGGTTTGAATGTCCTCCAGAGCCAACGCCAAAGAAAATCATACCGCCTGCTAAACGAAAAAGTGAAACTCTGCAGGTAACTTTCATTTTGTCTTGGAAGCATACCTGCTTTTTGTGCTTGTGCAGATGGGGTGTAATGTTATGGATGGTGTATATGAGCTCTGGTAAAGGCTTTGCCGAGTTGAGAGACTGTGATGTAAAACTGAAGTCACTTTATCTATTGTTCACACGGTGTACATTATGATTTACTGTGCAATTTGTTTTTTTGTTCTTTTTTTTACTCTGCTAATTTCCACTAGCACGTCTGTGAGAATCCTAATGCACGAATGAAATGCTTGCTCAATATTGCATCATAATCCATTCTAATCAGCTGTTCTATAGTACTTTAAGTAGGTGGTTTCAAGTTCTGAGTTTTTGGAAATGCATCTTGATATGCAATACTACTATAAATGAATAATATACAATATACACTTTTTCCTTCAGATAATCCAAGCGCCAAACATTGGTTTCTCTGTGCATTTCAAACAATCAGATGGTGCTGATGCAACCAGGTCACACTTTCAGCCCTGCTAGAAAGCAGCGCCATGTCCGCATGGTTACGGTTCTAGTACGGCATACATACTTTGCAATGGGAGAAGTGCCAGTTTGCAGTACGGGTTGGGTGCGGCACGGTTCTTGGTGGCAGTGGAAAAATGGCAAGTTTACTCATGTCTCGCATTGTTCCCTTTGCCTTAACATGTTTGTGTTAAGGTTCTACAGGAACATCAAGTGAGAGAGGCTGATGCTTTGGTGTCAGGAGAAAAGGGAAAATATCCACAAACTCCAGGTTTGTGCACCGGGCACCCAGAAAACATTGTATTTGTCTGTCTGTTGTGAACTTGGTTCTGTGCATGCTGTTGATTTTGTACTGAATTTGTGTTGCATACACTGCTCATGTATGTAAATGAAGAGGAAAGTTATTCAATACCCATGGATATTAAACGCTTGATGTTAAGTTAGTGGATGTGAATTGTGCTAATTTAGCTGTACTTTTTTTTTCCTTTTTTTTTTTTTCTTCTTTCCTATGTAGAACAAACTTGTTTGAAAGATGGAACAAATACGGTGTTGGCCAGTGTGGGTGACAGTGATGAGGCTGTGGGAAAACAGACCTTTACCAGCCTGGACCAAAGCAAATCAACAGCAAAAGAGGCTCTTTCACCCTTCAGTGAACTTTATGAAATAACAAAGCAAAGTCTCTCTGAGAAGTTGCCACGGAAATCTGAACAACCCAAGACCCCTTGTTCAAGACGTGACTCCAAAATGGAAGTGGTTCCTCAGAATAAGTCATCGGATGAACCTGACAGTGCCCCTGGTGCTGACGTAACCCCAAAGTCTGGGCGAAGGAGCATGAAGACAACACCAGGGAGAGATGAGCTGGCAAGTCCCACTCAGAAGTTGCAAGATGCCATTGAACAAGTTGTGACTCCAGTTCAGGTAACACCAAAAGTCAGACGTTCGTTGAAGTCTCCTGCAAAGCAGCTGAACGCTGGTGTCTCTGAGGATCAGCTGACCCCTGTCTCTCAGAAGAAAAATCATATCGGCACACCTCAAAAAATCACTGCTGCAGAAGTAGCTCATGTCCTTTCTCAGGATACTTCTGTGCTGGAAGACTGTACCATCAGTAAGTCTGTGACACCTAAAACAAGGCGAAACAAGGAAGCTCATTCTCCAGCAGGAGAAGGTGGGCCTTGCTCACCAGGTCGTCCTTTTGTCTGTACCCCAAATCAAGCCGAGGAAAATGGGGAGTCAGGTGAGGTTAAAGAGGAGTCCCCAAGAGCCAAAGGAGTTTCCAGTAAGAGGACGTCGCCCAGGACAACAGCAGGAAAACGTCAAGCTTTGAGTGAACTTGAAACAGCAGCACCATCTTGTGGGGAAAATGAAGGTAAACAGTTGACCTCAGATAAGTGTGTTATGCGCAGTGTGAGAAGTACAAAGTATATTAGCTATTCATTGCACAGCCACATAATCAATACAGTGTTGTGAGGAGCTAGAACATATCACAGGCAGCATTGGCCTCAAGGCACGTGCACCCAAGAGAAGATGCCACTTCATGACAGGGCACTTGCACCATTGCACACTTAAGGCAAACTAGAGATGCCGATCAGCTAAATTTTAGACTATGGAAGGAACCCAGAGTACTTGGAGGAAACTGGCGTGACATTGGGGGGGGGGGGGGACTCCAGACTCTAGGAGCCAGCATGACATTTGAACTCGGAGATGTGAAGCAACATGCTAGGAACAGCTGAAAATGTAATTCTTTAACGGATGCCCTCATCTGTATGATTATTCTTTTCTATGCATGCAGTCTGAAACCCTCTACTGATTTTTTACATTCAGTGAAGAGTACTTGTGTACATGGAGGTGTATTTTTGTTATACTTGCTGGTCTTGCTCATGTGAATTTGACTGCAGCTGTAATGGTTAAACTCATTAGGTTCTACTTTGAATATTTGTTTGTCTAGGTGGTCAGTCAGGCCAGAATAAGAAACGCAAAAGTGGGGACCTTGGTGGTTTGCCTGTGCCTTTGATGAAAAGGAAGAGAGTGTCATTTGGTGGGCAGTTGAGTCCTGAGCTGTTCGACAAGCGGCTTCCTCCAAACTCCCCCCTGCGCAGAGGGGCCACACCGGGCAGACGCAGCCTGTCTGTATTGAAAAAACACCCTGTCTTAAGAAGAGCTTCCATTATTGGCTTGATCCAGGTGAGTTCCTATTGCTGGATTTTGTGCGTTTTTGCCTACTAAATTTAACAACTTGAATCATTCATTCACTGTTAAACTTCTGAACCTCACAGGAGCTGCCTTCTGAAAAGTCAAGTTCAGAAAATCCAAAGGCTTCAAGCCCAAGGAGGAGAGTTTCTTCCAAAGCTGGGTCTACAAGTAGGACCCCTTCTCCTAAGAAAACACCTGCTGCGAAGAGTCAAACCCCTTCTCCGGGAAAGATAAAATCCCCCAAGGTGAAACCTGGTACACCATCCAAGGAAAAGGAGCCCAAGAAATCTCCAGGCCGGAAGTCTTCTCCTAAAACTGTCCATCAGTCTCCAAGAAGACGCAGGTCGTCCTCGAAAGAGAACCCTCTGATGTCAAAAGGCTTGAAGTCCCCCGCCTCTCAGCCCCAGACTCCTGTTTCAGTCTTGGGAAAGACTGGTACTCCACATAGGAGAAAATCATCTTCTGCTGGTTCAAAATCTTCACCCAAAACCACCTCTCGTGAAGGAGAATCTCTGTCTGCCGAAATGCCCATAAATGATTCCCTGGCAAGCCAAACGCCCATTGTACGAGGCAGGTTTTCAATATCACGAATTGAAACTCCTTCACCTGTAACTGATCAGGATACAGCTGCTTCAGACGGTTCTGTTTCTGTAACTCCATCTGTTCTGCTGAGGAGAGTGAGCCTCAAGTCTGCAAAGGCAACCCCCAAAAGTGCGAGGAGGAGGAGTGCCCTTGAATTAATTCGTTTAAGGCGAAGTGGAGCTTCTCAGGCCAATTTGAAAGGTTTGTAAGGTATTTAATAGTATGACGACGGCTAGTTTTCATGGCATGTTAAGTATCTCATGTTAATTATGTGTTTTTTTATGCAGTAGTGAGTTCCTGGGCTGATATTGTTAAATTTGGCACCACCAAAGCCCAGACTGAAATCACAGCCAAGAAACGAATCTCAAGAGGAAAAGCTGTCAGAACTGTGAAACAAAAACCAAAGGTAAGAGTTCTGAAGTTGCATTTTGGAAATTTTATTTCTAAATATTAGTAGCCAAAAATAGATGCCTTGATTTTGATGTCTGCTTTCCTGTGATACAATTTTCCTTTATTTGTCCCCAGCCTCCTAAGACTCCTATTCAGAAACTCAAAGGACATTTCAGTACGGGCCATGCTGAATCACCAGCTACAATTGTTGTTGGGAAAGCTCATGCCAAGGCCGCATTGCCTACAGGTCATGCACCAAAGTTTGTCCGCAACACTGCATTAACGAAGGAAAGCATGAATATGAATGAAGATTTAACAGGTGTGTGTGTGTGATTTTACATTTGGGTGATTTCACATTACTTGAAGTGTCTTGGTGACTTGTGAAGGTTATTTGATTCCCTTTTACAGGCATTGCAGAGATATTCAGTACCCCTGTGAATACAAGACGGAAGAGGGCCAATAGTGGCAAACCCCATAGTCCAGAAACTCCACAGGATGTCCCTTTGGGTGAAGCCTCTGTAATAAACACCCCTGAGGAAACAGGTAGGTGATTAGAATTGGTGTTCTGGCCTGAATACAACTTTAGTCTGTAATGTCTAGTATAGTTCTGATGATGTTTCAAAAATGTTATGGGGTTAATTAAGGAACCTGAAGTTTTCATCAGAATTTGTCCCTGCTGGGAAAATCCTGGATAATGGGCATAGCTTATGGAAAAGGCTTTGATTTTTATCTGATTCTTCAGAATATGTAAAGTAATGCCTGTTTAGTTATTGATGCTGTGGAACTGTGTTTTATGTTTGCAGGAGAAATGGTAGTCTCACCATTAAGTGTTGCCAACACTCTAAAGCAAGGATGTTACAGCAGTGAAGCTGTTGTAAGGCTTCTCACAGATGATCAGGAGTGCAGCTTTACATGCAGTGATTCTGTACAACAGAAGGCAACTTCAGATGTGATTTCTTCTGAACATGCTGAACAGCAGGATCTTGTCCTGGAGAGGATGGTGGGAAGCCCAAGACAAAAGCCTGAACCAGAGATGCCTCTAACGGGAGTTAAGAGACGTATGAAGACCCCAAAACAAAAGGCCATGCAGAAGGAAGATCTTACAGGCATTAAAAGACTACTGAAAACACCCAAGCTACCAAAAGTATCTGAAGAAGTGAGTTTAATTGGTGTAAAGGAGCTGCTGAAAACCCCTAAGGTCAAGGGTCAACCGATAGACATGGTTGGAGTTCAGAGAATGTTAACTCCCAAGGTGAAAGCTGTGCCACAAGTTTTTACAACTGGTGTCAAGCGACTGATGCGAACTCCAAAGCGGAAGAACGAGCCTGTCGACGACATGGTCGGATTGAAACGGTTGATGAGGACTCCGAAGCAGAAGAATATACCAGTTGAGAATTCATTTGGGGTAAAGCAGCTGTTGCAGACCCCCAAACAAAAGGATGAACCTGTCGAAGACATGGTTGGATTGAAGCGACTGATGAGAACTCCCAGGCAGAAGAATGAACCTGTCGAAGACATGGTTGGATTGAAGCGACTGATGAGAACTCCCAAGCAGAAGAATGAACCTGTCGAAGACATGGTTGGATTGAAGAGAATGATGAGGACTCCCAAACAAAAAGGGAAGCCAGTTGAAAACAAATTTGGAATTGCCAAACTCATGAAGTCACCCAGGCTAAGAGGAACCATTGCAGTCGAAGATTATACTGGATTACAGGAGCTTATGCAAGAACCAGAAGAAGTACCAGTTGCCAGGATCACTAGCAAATGTGATATCTCTGAACATGTAAGGGTAATTGTATTGCACTCCATGTAATAAATCAACAAGTTCCAAATTGAGTGTTGTATGTTCAGAGTGCACTGTTGATAGCACTATGATTCTACATTTTAAGTTCATGACTCTCAGTATTAAAACTGCATTTATTTTTTTTCTCCCCTTCAAAGGTTTGTGCCAATCCATGCACTTCAACGAATGGGGAAATATTTACTTCTGCGGGTGAGTATACGATATGTCAGTTCATCTTATGTTTAAATATGAGTTGTTGTGGGTCAGCTTTACAGCTAGTGTAGTCTAAACTAGGGCTGGGCAAAATGGTTTTTTTTATTTTTTATTTTATTAGTAACTGGCTATTCAGACAAGTAACCTGGTGTCGATATTCGACAGTGAGTAACTAATTATCACATTTATTGGGGAAGTATGTTTAGGCTCCACTCAAAGCAAAATAACTGAAGGATTTTAAGATTTGGCTTCCATGTCAGCGTTCTAGGTAGCGTTTCTGACATGGTTTTAAAGAAAAGGAAAAAAAAAACATAGCTATTATAGTGCAGTGCTTCACAAGCATTGCCCGTTGCAGTAATATTTTGGAAAAGTTGGGTAGTATGAAGCTGTCACATCACCAACTCCAGTCAGTGCCCAGAATGTCAGCTGTTCAAGTGGAACTTCCTGGTGGGAATTTTCAACTTTCCAACTTGGTTGAGCAAGATAATTCCCTTTTAAGATAAGGAATTTGCCAACAACCTTAATTTTAATACCCTAGCTACAGATTCCTCCTTTGTAGTTCCTTTCATTTATGCATGGGAGCAGTCTTCACAGGCTATAGCCAAAAGTGTATATTGCAATAAAGAACTACTGACAATTTCAGTCCAGGATGTCGAGATTCTACAATAATTGCAATTAAGGCAAAATCAAGCAAGACTCTAGAGCTTGAAATTATCGGCGTCGATCCGGACCTATTTGATCGATCTGGTATCGGCCATGAGTGACCGATCTACGTCCTATACTTGCTTGCTTAGTTTTCTCTAAAAAGATAGCTCCTATTTCATGTTAAATGTATTTCTACAATCAATCGCACGACAGTTCTTTCCCATTTTACATGTGTTTTATTGCGGCATTCGAATTAAATGCTATCGCTGCCCCTCAGTCTTTTTTTGCTACTCAGTGGGTGTGAGTACAGTGACGTCCGCCTGCTGTGACGTCATGCACATACCCCTCACAGTACGAGGAGCATAAGACGTGACAATCTGGGGGTATTTTACACTTTTAACGGAAACCAGTAGCACAGCGATTTGCAATCTTTGTAAAAAAGTTTTGAGGTGGGAATAGCGTTTAATGGACAGTCCCACCTAACAGCGCACGCAACTGCGAGACTAAAAAAGGAATGGATGATTTGAGAGTCGCTAACCTGGACTGTCTTGCGATACTGCAGCTTGTGATACAAGAGGGGCTGCCATCGCAACAAAGTGTAACTGAGCTGATGCCAATGGGAGAAAACTTGTTAAAATTCTAAGCATTCGCCACTTGTATACTTGCTTTGAAGATATTCATATTGAACCGCAAATGCGTAAAACAAGACGTACAAATGAGGTGTAACAGTACGTTATGTATGTTTGTAGTAGCCTAATTAAATATTGTCATACATTTTTTCCATCTGTATTAACTAGCTTAAAAAAAAAAAAAAAAATATATATATATATATATATAT